GCTGCTGCTGCTGCTGCTGCTGCTGCAGGCCAAAAGAAACACTTCTCTTCTCAAGTTTGCTTCCAAGATGGACAGCAAAGTTGCAAAGCGAGGGTCTTCTCTCAGCTGCTCCCCGCGCAGCTGCCTACAGCCCGCGAGGCCCTCCAGTGCCCTAATGGCACTTGACAGCGAGGGGCCCCCAGGGGGCCCCCCAAGGGGGCCCCCAGGGGGGCCCCCAGGGGGGCCCCCTTGGGGGCCCCAGGGTGTCCCTTTCCGTTTGGTGGTAAACTGCTGGGGGCCCTCGGGGGCCCCCAGGGGCCCCTCAAATGGCTCGAAAGGGTCCAGTTCGTGGGCCTCCGTGGGGCCCCAGAGTTTGGAAAAAGAAGTGGGAGTTTGGGGTTTGCTTTTGTCTTCAAAAAGAGAAAGAATTTGAGCTGCGGAGTCAACTGCAGCACTGGGGGGCCCCAGGGGCCCCTCGCAGTCCAGCTGAGGGTCCGGGGGGCCCCAGCGGGCTGGGGAAAGCGCCGGTGCTGCTGCTGCTGCGCTGCTGCTGCGGAAAGCTGCTGCTGCTGCTGCTGCAGCAGGGCCCTGGGCCTTCTGCGCCTGCCGCGCATCTTCTTCTTTTTCTATTAAGGCCAACATTGCATTATACGAGGCTTCTCTTTGCCGGTCCAAATCGTCGGCCACGTCATACATATCTGGGCAGTCAGGGGGGGCCCCGCCAGCAGCAGCAGCAGCTGCGGGGGGCCCCCGGGGAGCACCCCGGCGGGGGCCCCATGGGGGCCCCCCGGGGGGCCCACCGGGGGGCCCCCATGGGGCCCCCAGGGGCAACCCGGGGCCCCCATGAGAGCGTGGAGTGAGCAAAGCTTTATTTGTTCTGTTTGAAAGAGAAAAGGAAAAGATCGAAGCAGTGGTGTGGGCGAAAACTAAAATTGAACACAAGACATAACCGTGCATTCGATGGGGGTGCGAATCAGCCAGTTTGAGCTTCTAAAGTTAATTTAAAATGCATTAAAACATCAAATTATTATTTTAATGTTTTAATTATTTAAAAAAGAAGAAAATTCGAATTTTTTGTGAGAAATCGAGCAGCAGCAACTGCCAGAGGGGGCCCCAGGGCCCCCCAGCTTCACGGGGGCCCCAGAGTAGAGGCCATTTGAAATGCTGCGTTAAATAAGTTGAAAATATTTTTATTTTCAATTTGAATTAAAATATAATTTATGATTTTTAAAAAATACGAATTTTTGCTTCTTGTGCCGTGCAGTGTATGTACACCAGGAGCCCCCGGCGAGTTTCTGCAAATCCGCAGACGAAATCGGCAACAGAAAAAACACCAAAAAGACATTTATTTTCATTTTTTGCATTTCTTGAGTTTTATTTTTATTTCAGTTTTATTTTTATTTCAGATATCTTTTTTGAACTTTTAATTTAATTATGGAAAACTTTTTTTCGCACTTCTTCCCGCACGGCGACGGCTGGCCAGTGGACCAGTGGTCCGTCTGGTGCCTCGACAGAATGTCTGGGAAATCCCAACATAAATGAAACAATAAAGACTTAATTTGTGCAATTAAACAGCCTGAACTTTATTTAATGTTCAAAACTATTTAATAATTCACTTTTATAAATTGTTTTCGTCTTTCGTTGCAGCTGAAATGGCTGTTTGCCGTTCACGCCATTTGCAGGTGACCAGTGGACCTCTGCGTGCAGCACCATTACTGCGCTGGTCTCTTTTAGCAGTTCCAGCCCTTCTGCCTATCTCTAATTGGCGGAAAAGACCAAAATGCCAAATAAAAAAAGCTACTTTTGTTTTACTTCCTCATTTATAATTCGGAGAAAGAATGAAAAACAAAAAGGGAAGCAGCTGGGGAAAAGACTGGGAGGTGTACAGACAGCTCAGGGGCCGCAAGCCCGTCATTTCTTGTTTTTCTGTTTGAGCCATTTAACTTGAAAATAAAACTTTGAGTCTTTTAATTTGAAAATAAAATAAAAAAGAATTTGTTTTCAAGTCAAATGGCTCAAAGAAAGCCGCGAAAGATCCTCAGTGATGAACTGATGCAGAGTGAAAACGCCGCTGCTGTTGGGGAATGTTTGGTGCCTAAAAACGAAAGTAAAAAGGGTATTTTAATTTATTTAAATTATTTAATTTAATTAATTTGGAATATTTAATTTAATTCATTTAAATTCTTTAATTTTATTCATTTAATACTCACCAGGCGCGACTGATACACCCCGCCAGCTGCTGCGCTGTCTCGTCTTGCAGCTCAGAGCTTTCCTCTGCAACAAAAACGTTTTCCCAGCTGCAGCAAAAAGGCATTCAAAACAAAACAATTAATTAATTTTGAAAGGCTAGTTTCAAAAGTTGACTTTTAAAGGGATTTAAAAGAGAAAAAACGTAAAACCAGAAACGGATCCTCACAAAGCAACCAGCGGTATCTGCTGCTGCTGCTGCAGCAGCAGCTCCCGTGTCTCCGACAAAATCCGAAGAGTGAGGTCACTTTTGGTTTTGTTTCTGAAGAATAAAATCAAAAAAAGAATTAATAAAAGTTAAATGCACTAAATAATTTAAATCAAATTGAAATGCATGCAATTAGCCGTTTTCTTGCACCCCAGCACCATCTAGTTGCCTTATTTCGCAACAATTAAAATCCAATTTAAACATTTTAAATCATTTATTTTTAATTTTTTATTTTAAAATTGTTTATTTTTAAATTATTTATTTTTAAATTGTTCATGTTGAAATAAGTTTGTTCTTCATCTCACATGGCTGCGTAAACGGCGCCTTCAAAGCAGTCACTGTCTGGAGGCTCTTGCTGTTTTTTCTGAATGGAAAAGACACAAATAAAGTTGAATTTCTTTTAAATATTAACTTAAATAAAACAAGAAATAAAATTTAATTTTTAATCAAATTCAAATTCATGAATTACCTGGCTTGCTTTCGCATTGCGCGCCACCAGAGAGTTCAAGAGAACTTCTTCCTACATTGCAACACATGAATGTTTTTAATTTTTAATTCATTTTTTCATAAAAATGTTTTTATTGTTTGCATTTTAATTCCATAAAACCGTTTTTTATTATTTGCATTTTCATTTATTTATTTGTTTTCCACTTTGTGGATGTCTGATCGCTTTTTCATCTTTCCAACTGGTGATTCGAAGTTTTTGAAATTTAAATTTTTTTTGAATTTTTGAATTTTTGAACTTTTGAATTTTTGAATTTTTGAACTTTTGAATTATTTTTGAGTTTTTGAGTTTTTGAATTTTTGAGTTTTTGAATTATTTTTGAATATTTGAATTTTTGAATTTCCGAATTTTTGAATTTTTGAACTTTTGAATTTTCTTTTGGCTGCGCCGACCTGCCAGAGTGCCACTTGAGGAAAGAGTTTGGAAAGTGAAGTTCTTTGATATGAAAAATCTTGGAAAGAAATTTGAATTTCTTTTGCAGCAAATTGCCACATGGATCTTGCAGAGTGGGAAAGCACGAAGGCCTGCAGCAGCAGGCGGGCCTGCTGCTGCAGGTCCTCCCGCAGCTCGGCTTCGGGGTCTTTTTGCAAAACCTGAAAGTAAACTCCAATTAAAAGTATTTGCAATTCGAAATAAATCCAAAAGAAAAGTTTTAGGAAAGTATTTGCAGTTCAAAATTAATCAAAAAGAGAAATTTTAGCCGCACTTTGCTCCACAGCGCCGTCTTCTTCACTTGCATTTCTTGCAAACCCAGCAGCAGCTGGCTGGAAAGCAGACGAATCTCAGCGCTTTTTAACTTTACAAAACCCAAAAAGTCGAATTAAATATTTATTTTTCAAAAATAAATTAAAATGTTAATTGTTTCTTTCAGTTTCACGAAACTCACGTGTCTTCACTGAGTTCTGCTGCAATGCAGATTTCCGGAACTTGAACTGCTGCGACCACCAGCCGTTTGCCTGAAAGCGGAGAAGCAAAATTGAATTCGGCAAAACAAAACGAATTTAAGTAAATAAATAAATAAATAAATTAAAATAAACCAAGTTGCATGCACTTCAGCTTCTTGAATTACCTGCTGCAGCTCGCAGGCATTTCAGCTGCGCCCACACTTGCGGCAGAAGCGGCGAAGCGCTGCAGCAAATTCTTCTGCTGCCTGAGTGGCATTTTTTTCAAAAATGCAAATTTTTAAAAACATTTTCAAAAGTTCGCATTTTTAAAGTAATTAGATTAATTTGAAGTCCAGCTGGGACTCACAGCTGGAAAGGCTGTAGCGCAGCACGCCCTCTGCCTTCTTAAAGAAATTCTCGTACTTCAGTTTGCTGCTGCTGCTGCTGCTGCCACTACTGCTGGCTGGAGGAGCCAGAGCAGCAAGACCCTTTGTTGCTGCTGCTGCTGTTCTTGCCCGTTTGTTGTGGGGCGCTGCTGCTGCTGCTGCTGCTGCTGCTGCTAGCGGCTGTTTGCTGCTATCCGAATTGAGACTGTGGGAAGCAGCAGCAGGCAGTGCAGCAGCAGAGCTGCCTGTGCTGCAGCAGAGGGGAATTCTGCTGCTGTTGATCAGCGCAAGGGCAAGCTGGGCGCCAGTGAGGTTTTCATAAAGTCTTTTGTTGAACTCTGAAGACTTTATTGAAATGAAAGAAATGCAAGTTGGGGAAACTTGCAGCAGCAGCAGCAGCAGCAACGTACTGCAGCAGCTGCTTCCAGCGCAGCCAGCCACTTCAAGTTCCACCCAGCTGCATGCGAAAGAGTTGCATGCACGTCTTCTGCATGCAGATTGGAAAATAGAAATAAAACTTTTTCGAACTCAATTGAACTTTCTTTACCTGCTTTTTCTGCAAAAGAAGGAGCCTCTTGAGGCCAGAGACTGCATGGAGGAGCTGCTGCTTCCTGCATGCAAATGAGAAAAGGAAAAATGCAATTCAAGTTTTTCGCCGCGAGGGTCTCAGGCGCTGCCAAGCCAAAAGAAAGGAGTGTTTCGAGCAGGTTTGTTGCAGAACATCCTGCAGAGGACAAGTGGAAAAGAGTAAACAAAACAAACTTGAAAAAAAGAAAAAAAGAAAAAAATAACCCTCACCGCCGACGAAAACTGGGAGCGAAGTGGAGGCAAAGATGTGCACAAGGACACTCCTTAGACTCTTGCAGTTGCGGCGCCAAAGAAAGACAATAAAGCCATTCATAAAAGCTGCTGCTAAGATAGACTTGTGGAGGCTCAGCAGCAGCCCGGGGGGTCGCAAACTGCTGCTGAGAGCTGCAAATGTGTGGGTTTCGGCATCGACGTGAACTTCTTCAAAGGCCTTTGGCAAATTAAACTTGAAAAGAGCCAAAAATAAATCCCTAGAGTTCTCTTTCGCGACACTCTGAAAGGCGAAATCCTCCACGGAGGGCTCTGCTGCCGGCGTCTCGGAGGAAAAGTAAACTGAAGTGCTGCCAACTTCACCCATTTTGGCTTTATTATGCTTCTAAATAAAGTTTTTCGTGGTTCATTTAGCATTTCAGAGGCGCTAAGTCTTTTCCAATTCAGGTTTCCACAGCTTCGTGAACTGCATGCACCGCGAAAGAGGTGCGCATACACCTCAGCGCCAGGCGCACTGAACAGCTGCTGCTGCGCATTTCGCACTTCGCCCAATTTAGTCCAATTTAATCAACTTTAGTCAATATAAGGATTTAATAAAGTCTGCAAGTTCTTGAAATTGCCAGAGGTTGATGCAATGTCTTAATTTGGCTTATCACACGCCAGACGTTGTAAAGACTAACACCCAAAGAAACCGAAACAAGGAGCTGCATCTCAACGCATCAGCTGATTGTTGTTTTCCCATTTGCTTAGTTATAGAATAGAAGTAGCTTCCAAATAAATTCTCTTCTTTTTTATTATTTAGAAAGAAATAACAGATACATGAAAGATCGGTTTAAGGAAGTGTTATTGCTCGAGCCTCTGGGAGCTTTGCTTTGCCAAAACATCCGGGCCCAGTTCAACTCATTTCAGAGCAATTTATTCTCCTAAAACACCTTTTAAATTCATTTATTTGACTAAAAATGATGAGTAGTTCAAGTTAGACAGACATTTGTGTGAACAATGAACGAAATCAAAGAACGAATGCAGAAGTTGGACAAGACAGTGCTGGCTACTTTTCAAAGCGGAAGCTGACTGAGTCTGATTTTCGCAGTTTGGGCTTTAAAAAGCTGCAAATAAACTAAATTTATTCATTAATTTACATTTAATAAACGTTAATTAGTTACTGGACCTCGCAAACGTTATTTTTCCGCATGGCGTTCGTGACGGGGCTGGCAACGAGGACCAGTGGTCTAGTCCAGTAGCTGCACTTCCGCATTCGCAGCCTGAGAGCCCCCAAGTTGAACTTGGGTTATTTTTTGAAGTTTTTATTGCAAAATAAATCCAATTTTAATTTTTTTTGCAAAAACGTCTCTGCAGGCTCTCAAGCTCCGCCTTCTGCACACCTCGAGGCTGCGGACCCACCCTGAGTCCCGAGAAACTTCTTTTTCCCGCTCCATTCTTGCATTATTTTCCAAGCTGAAACGCCCAAAATGAAAGGCCTGGGCACACCGGGGGCGGGCACTTCTGGGGGAAGCTCTGGGGGCGCCGGCCAGCCTCTCGAAGGCAAAGAAAAAGGCAAAGGGGAGTTGGCTGTGGAGCACACGGACTTCCGAAGGGCCAAAAGCCTCTGGCAAGAAAAGCTGGACTGCCTTCTGGCCAAGAAGGAGCAGGAGAAGATCCTCGTGAGCCCTCAGGGCTTTTCAAATTAATCCATTTAGTCCATTTGGTCCTTCTAGTCCACTTATTCCCTTTGATTCGTCTCCCAGTTAATTTGCTGCTTCACGCCATTAGTCATATTGCAATCCAGCCTTTCTTTTGTACACTTGGCCTTTTTTGCATGCCCGCTTTCGCCTCAAGATGGGAGGCACTCATGCATGCATGAATGCATGCATGCATGCATGCATGCATGTACTGTGTTACATTATGCATGCAGCTGCCCCTTTTGTTTGAAGAGTATTGTTTCCTGCACAGCCCTGTGGGTTTCCAGAGCTGTCGGCCATGGCCTTCTTGACAAGTCTCGTGTTGCTGTGTTGGTTTGCTGCAGCTGCAGCAGAAGTTGTCTGTTTGTGTCTGCAGATTGAGCTGCAGCAGCTGCAGCAGCTGCAGCGGGAGAACGAAAGGCAGACGCTGCAGCTGCTGCGGAGCGAGGGGTACTGTGTGGGGCCCCGCGGGAGGGCTGAGGCTTATGATTTGCTGCTGGCGAAGCAAATAGAGCAGCAGCAGCAGACACAACTTGAACAAGAAAGAAGCGACGCTGCTTACGCAGCAGCAGTAGCTTTCTGCTCTGACATGGAGAGAGACAGCAGCAAATAGTTCAACTTTTGATTATTTGGAAAAGACAGAATCCACAGCTTTCTGTGCTTCCGAAGTGCCGAAGTGCAGGTGTTTGTGCTTGCTACAGCGTTGTTTCTCGGTTTAAATGCATAATAATTGCATTATTATTTCCATTATTTCCAAAAATTGCAAATAAGAAAAGCATGTTGAAATTGCTGCAGCGTTATGTTCTCAATTAAAGGCGTTTCAGTCAATTCGAGCAGAGCCAGACCAGTGGTCAGTCCAGTGGTCTTTTGGCGTGCTCGGAAACGCCCATTAAAGAGCTGTGAACAAATATCAAAAGTGGATAGCAGCAGTCTTAAGGTAGAATAAAGTAAACATATTTCTGTTTATCTTATTCTATGCAGTGATGAGACGTGGGTGAAATAGTACCATTTTGGCTGCTGTTTTAAGCACCTTCAGTGTCTTGAACTGAAAGAAATAAAGGCAAACAATTGTTTGCCTTTATTTCTCTACAAGACCTGCAGCTTGCTTCTTTTCTAATGCATTTCTCCCCAAGAATACAAATCTAATGTATTTCTCTTCAAGAGTACAAACCGAAGGAGATCACGAACTCGTGAAAAGTCTACCAATAGAGTCATAGCTGGAACTGCAGAGTGAAAGCAATGAGGCAGAATCTGCAGAAGACGAGATTAATTTCAGAGTTTTATTGGAATTCTTTGGGAAGTGAGCCCTTTCTGAGTTGTTATACTTTTGAAATAAAGCAGAAAATAATGCAGTGAGCATTTTTTAGCAGCGGAATCATCTGATCCGCATGCAAATCCGACCGCAACTTCATCTCGAAACGAAAATAACGAAATTGAGAGAAAACAAAAATTAGAAAATGCATCTGGAGATGCAGATCGGCACTCGATCGCGCAAATATCGGCACTTGAACTTAAGGGAAGCGCCTAGCAGTAGACTGGCTCTGGGGATTGTGCAAACTTAATGTGAAATAATAAAACTACCCGCCAATAGAGACTGTAGATAGGGCCTAATAATAACATTTTAAGCCTCTAAAAATAATAAATTTAAAACTTGTGAACAGTTGGTGAGACTTCGCCGATTTCGGCCTTCCAGTGCATGTGGCTAGTGAGGCAAAAGCCTCCAGCGGGGTGACAGCGCTGGGGCTGTTGATGAATTGACGGAGTACTGGAGCTCCAATACAAAGCGGCAGCATACAGGTATGAAAAGAAAGGAAAAAAAAGCTTTGAAGATTTGAAAAAGGAAGAAAATGGTGTGCCTGGCATCTTGCACGCAGACTGCAAACCCTAAACCCTAAACGCTAAACCCCAAAAAGAAGAAAGACAGCCGAAGGCTCGGCTCAAAGAGCAACAAAATGCACATGCAGCATTTGCAGGAACAGCAAAAGGCAGCAGCTGCTGCTGACAAATACTTAGCCTCCATTACACTTGCACAAAGCGAGCCACAGAGAGTGCAGGCCTCTGAACTGTTGCACTTTGCTGCAATACTTCACCCCAGAGGCCAATAGAAGCATTTGGCCCTTAAATATTTCATTTTTAAAGCTGTATTTCCGGCCCGGCGTTATTCGCCAGTGTCTATGACTGGCTTGCCCATGGCCTGGAGCCTGGGGAGTTGCAAAGCTTTGTGCTTCTTCTAGGAGTTTTGTCGCCCTTGTTAGATCTATTTCTCTGAGATAATTCGCAGATTTAGATTTTCTTGATCTCAAAATTTTGAGCAAAGTGTATCAGATAATCAGCTTATTGAGATGTTCTCGATCTTGGGGTTTTCTGCAAAGTGTTGGTGGGACGGATGCAATCAAATGCTCCAATTGTAAGCGACAGACACTCCATCAAATGAAGCCAATACCCGCAGTAAAGTGCTGCAGTGCCCCTACTTTTTGCATTACATTTTCAATTTTATTTGTCTTTTTGCTGGCTCATTCCTGCAAGGATCCTTTAACTGCAGCATTCACCTGTTCTGCTGAAGCTTATTCAGTATTGGCTTGCACAGCTGCTTCTCTCCGCCTTCTCTTCTATTTGTCACTATGAACTCTCACTTTCTGAAGTGCAACAAGTCTAAATGAGCTGGTGATGCAGCTGAAAGCGCGGTGAAATGGCACTTACACACATATGGTGCACTTGCCACTTCGCGCTCGCCGGCACCATGGCGCAATGCGCTGTAACCCGCGCAGCATTTGCTCCTGTTTTGTGGTCTATAAGTAGGACATTTCGCGTAAATGATGGGAATATACATAAACTATAAAAAACGGCTTTCGAGAATGGTCTGTAGGGGTAGCTAGAGTAGTTTCTGTTAGTGCACGAAAAGATCAATGGTGGGGCAGAAGAGTAGGCAGGCGGTCGATGGAACCTATTGGGACAGTATAATGGTATTTTTAAAGAAGTATATATTTCTCTTGAGTATTTATTTGCACGCTTAGTGTAGGCAGCTGAGTTCACTGACAGCTCCGTATCTGAAGATCAACGAGCCACGCCCTCGCCCGCATCTACTCTGATTTGGCTCAGGCCCACCCAACAAATCAGGCTCAAGAGGAAGCTTGAAACATGCATGTCTTTAAAATTGCAATTTAATCGCCCGAATAAACCAAAAAATATCTACAAACAACAATTTTTGCGGCGAATGGTTCATTTGCTCGAGCGTTCAGCTCCCGATTCAGAACTGGTCCTGTCACACCGAACACACAGGGTGAGCCTGGGCGCATACGTCTTGTCCTTATTTTCTTTTCGTTTTTCTACGAGAATAAGTGCTTTAAAATTAAGATTAAAATATTAATTTTGTCTTTTAGACATCTGCATGAGCCCGTCTGAGCCTGCCCGCACCACGCCTCGAACACCGCCAGATCCTCGTGGCATCAACTCCAGTAGACCTTAGGGTAATTCAGATAAAATACTTAAAATGGGAAAATTCAATTTGATCGTTTACTTTTATTTTGAATCTGCGCAGCAAACTCAAAGTACTCAATGGACTGGACAAATATATACATATATATATATATGTATATACCAGTGCTGAATCAGTTGGCGAACACCTCTGGCCTGCCTGGACACGAATCTGAAAGTAATACTTGAAAACCTCGAAAAAACTGCGTTTTTTGCTTTATAAAAACTACTGGTGGTGGGACTATTTGTGGAATCTCTAGACCGATCGAAGTGCAGTAGAAACAGACACGCGTTGCAGGATGTCAGCCCAATTCATGCGCTTTAAATAGATGTGTTATACGCATTTACAGCTTCTAGAGTTCCCTCGCCACTCTATTTAAACGTGACACATTAACTTAAAACTGCTGAAGAGTTCTCTCGATACAAAGTCAGAAAAGAAAGCCAAGCAGTAGCCTTGTTCAGGCTAGACGTCCAGCCAACTTCGACCTCGTGGCCAGGACACGGTCATGGTTAGCTAGCTGCGCCTCCTCAGCTGCAAACAGCGCAGCTAGCTGCACAGGCAGCTAGCCACAACGCAAAGCTGGAGGCAAAGAACCTTTTGCATGCAGCCTACTGTCCTTGTGGCGTTTTCGGCTGCCAGTCATGGCCCACAGGAGCACTTGCAAGCCGGCCTCTGCGCAGTTGTCTGTATAAACAATAATGAGCCAATAGGAAGCCGCGATTGGGGAAAAGTTTAATGATGAATGAAAGCAAGAAACTCTAAACACAGCAGTTGCTTCGTAACGCAGCGGCGGCCCGGTGACACTGCGCGGCGGTTGCGGAAAAGGCGGCTGCAGGTGTTCGTCGGAGTTTCCCAATCTTCACCAAACAATGACATTTGCAAGAATTTGTTGGCGCCTTTCCCTCAGTTTGTCTCTATTGAATTAAATGAACAGCTGGAGACAAGTCTGAGCTCAAGATCGCTCAAAAAACCCCAGTCGTAAGCGTCCTGTAAGCTGCTGGCAGACGATCGCGGTGGTGTGGCGGCTGGCTGAAGTGGACATCACCTTTGTTCGCTTTTCGAGCTTATTCTTCTTTCTTTTTGGGAATAAAAGGCTCCACGCGAAGTCTGCCGCCACGGGCCTGCAGGATCGCCTCTTCCGTCTGTTGCTTGATGTCCAAAGACCTGTCGACCTTGAAGGGCGTTCTCTGCGTGTTGTTTCGATCTTCTTCTTCGAAATCGTGTACCGTTTTTTCCATTAAAGCTTGGAAATCGGTGCTAGGCAAGTCGAGGAAGCCGTCTCTCGCCGCGTTGCCATCCACCAGCAGCCGCACTCTGTCGAAGTAGGCTTTGGCAGCGGCTGTGTCAGGGTCGCTGAAGTGGACTTCTGCGGCTTTCTGGACATTATTTTCTGCATTTTTATTACCTGGAACTCCGGACTTGGCGAAGAGGTCGTCGAGTCCTCCCTTGAGGCCCTCGAGGGTTTCGGTCACGGCGGCGTCCTCTCCGTCCTTCTGCAGCAGGTCTTTCAGGCCGATTTTTTCCATTTTTCGGAGTTCCTCCTCCTTTTCCGCGACGATTTGCTCAACTGGAAGAATCAGTTTCGCGAGGTCCCTCTTGAGGTTGCTGGCGCGGCTCATGTCGTCGGCGGTGACGCCGTTCACCATGAGCAGCTGCAGCAGGTCGCGCTTGAAGTCCGGGCAGGGCTTCGAAGTGGCCACGCGGCGCAGCGAAGCCAGCGAATGCAGCGTTTCTGGAGGAGAGTTTCGCAAAACTCCGTAAATAAATGCAGGTTCGACGAGGTATCCGAAGGGGCAGGGGGCAATAGCCGCAAGGACGAAAGCGGTGGCGGTGATCCTGCAGCCGGGGGCGCGGCCCACGAGGAACTGGAAGAAAGCTGCCAGCGTGGAGTAGAGAGCAGCTCTTAAGTTGGGTTCATGGCGGCTGATGATTGCTGCTGCTGCTGCACTATCTTTCGCAGCAGCTTTCGCGATGGAGGCGGGCACGAAGGCCCTGAGGAAGAAGACTGCGAAGCGAATGAAGTCCCGCTTCGGCTGCTCCTGCTGCAGCCGCAGCCGCCGCCCCCTCTTGCCCACGGGCGGCAGCGCCTGCAGCAAATCCCCGCGGCCCCCCAGCTTCCTGTGAACTGCTGCTGCTGCTTCTCGCCAAGAAGCTGGCAGCCGCACAGTGCGCAGCTGGTGGCAGAAGGCGCTGTGCCACGCCCGGGCTATCTTGTAGTACAGCTGCGGGCTGTACGCCTGCACCAAGTCCTCGCGGGCCCCCCGCAGCTCCGGCAGCAGCAGCTTGCGCACCCAAAATGCGTACAAGTCCCTCAAAATGGTTTGCGAAGTCATTCCCACGAACTTGCGGGTCATGTTCGTCTTCACCTTGGCCATTATGGGCTTGCGCGGCCTAGCAGCAGGAGCCGGAGCAGCCGCGGGAGCAGCAGCGGCCGCGCACGGCGAGCAGCAACTTGAACACAGCAGCAGCAGCGCCGCCGCGCACACCCACAAACTCCCCAACCGCCCCAAAAACGCCATTTTTGCTGCTGCAGTTTCCCCAAAAAGCAGCAAATAAAACGAGGCCGCCGGAGTGGAGATCGACTCGATCTTGCAAGAACTGCTGCTGCCCCGCTGCGGGAAAGCTGAAGCCTGCGAGGGCCGGCGCCGACGCAGCGCCGCCGAAAGAACTCGCCTCCTCTCGAATTTAAAAAATAAATCCAACAGAGTTTCGCAAAAAAGAAAAGAAAACTTGCAGCGCAAGCCCAGGCGGAGCGGCCACAAGAGTCGGTGGGGACGCCCCCGCGGCGCAGACGGAAAGCTACGGGAAGCAGCGAAGATTTTGCACAACTAGGAATTGCAATTAAACCATTTTTGGGCAAATGCAAACTTGTGCTGCTCAGCGCCGCCGGAGGCCCGGCTGCTGCTGCCCGCCTGTGCTGCAGCAGAGGCACCAGTCCTGCAGCGCTGCCGGGGCCCACAGCGCCCCGCAATAGATCTTTTTTCTTTTAAATGCCACTTTTCAAAGATTAAGTTCCTTATTTCACATTAATTCGGCATTTTTGAGGCTTTTCTCCCTCTTTTTCCTAAACTTCGCCGCCCTCTCCGCAGCGCGTGCAGCAGCAGCCCGCCCCGCCCAGGTGCAGTTTCCGAAGCAGTCAGCGCCTGTCTTCGAATTAAAACGATATAACAACGACAATAAAATCATTATTCTTTTAATTCCCCATTAATAACTGCAAAAGGGGTGCAGCAATATGTGAGATCGCGTCCCCCCCTCCTGTGCCTTGCAGGCTGGCTGGCACGACGGGTGCAGCTCCACACCTCCTACAGCTCGTTCTTCTAAATTGGTTATTTTAATTGCAACTTTTACTTAATGTTTTCGTTTTATTTCTTTTCGAGGCTGCCCACGCCTCCGTGTGCAGCGCCTAGAGGACTACAGCCAGCCTCCGATGCGCCGATCACTTCCGAAGCCCCAAGGCTTGAAAGCCCGCCAGTACTTAAGCTCTGAAAAACGGTGCCCAATTCAAATTGGCAGCAAGAGGAGGACCACTGGTCATCCCTGGCTTCGCTGTACGAGCTGCCTGGGGTCTCGGGCTTCGGGTGGCAGAGATCTTCGCTGCCAGCCCACAACGATCTGCCCGACAGCTCGGAGTTGGCAGATCCCTCTAATTAATACAATTAACAACTTATCTTTGTGGGAGAGTCGCTACAGTGGCCCCTGGCTAGTAACCTAGCCCTAGTTGAGGGATCCTGCAAAATGTATTCCTGAGTGCTAGGGATACTACGCGTTTCATTCTGCCCAACATGAGCGGCTCTCCTGCACAGTTCCGCTCATAATTCTAATTTATTTCTTATATTTCATTCGAGCTAAGCCTCTCCTCTTATTCTGAACGCAAGCCCAAAAAATAAAGACTTTGGAACTCTTCCTAAATAGTTCAGCGCCACGCTGTCTGTACACCTGAGCGCCGTAGCCCTGCGGTTGCGCCTTTCGCATCTCGCGGCTTTCCACTTTTCTGCGCGCTGCCGGAGTACAATAATGTATTTGTTTTAATTACATTTATACTGCTCTATTTTGTTTTAAAATTTCGACAAACTAAGCCACTTTAGTTCGTCAATGGGGCCTCTTCGGCCTCCAGCGCCTCCAGATCCGCCTCGTTTAGTCCCGCCTCTTTCAGCAGCCGCTCTCTGATGATGCGCCGCCGCCGCTGAAACACAGTTTCCCCCCCTGCAAACAGGCAGTTTGGCAAATGAAAAGATACATTTTGGGAATATTTTGGGGATATTAATTCAAAAATATCCATTATAAGCACTATTTACTCCAATCCAGCTTCCATGCACAGTGTGTAGGTTCATTTGTCCGCTCCTGAGTCGACTCCACCCGTTCAGGCCTCAGTTTTATTATACGCGAAAAAATGGACCTCAGGGTCCTGCTGGCAAGCCTACAGCAGCAGCAGCAGCAGCAGCACCTGCTGCTGCTGCTGCCAGAGCTGCTGCTGCTTCAGCTTCTTACCAGGCTGCGTGTAGGTGTAAACGAGAGTATAGAGGAAAATTGCAACAATAATAACACACAAAATAAACTCCTTCGGATCTTCTTTAGGAGACACAAAGAAACGGCCTCCAGCATAAGGCCCCAACTTCAAGTCCATCCGCCGCATTTGCTGCGGCTTGAAAGGATCTGCACTTTCTGGGTGCAGCCGGCCCCCGAGGGGGGCCCCACGGGGGGCCCCCCCGGGGGGCCCCCCCGGGGGCCCCCCCGGGGGGCCCCCTTGGGGGCCCCCCCTGGGGCCCCCCACGGGGGGCCCTCCTCTAAAGGAGTCTCTGGGGAATAAGCGGCAGGCGGTGAGAGAAAAGGGGCCTAAGGGTGGAGGAGGAAGCCGCAGGCTGGCTTCTGTGGCTGCCTGTGCTGCTGCTGCTGCTGCTGCTGTTGGAGCTGCTGCTGCTGCTGCAGCAGCCGGCGCTGCAGCTGCAGCAGCTGCAGAGGGCACGCGCTCGAGTCTTACTAGGGCGCAGCAGCGAGAGAGGAGGCGGGGCTTGTGGATGAGGAGTGTAGAGGGAAGCAAAGCCCTCATGGCTGCTGCTGCCTGCTGCTGCTGGCTAGAGCATAAGTTGAATAAAATTTAATTAATTTAAATTTAATTTATTAGTTTGCTGCCAAACAAATCCTCAAAAGGCACTCTTCCTGTCTTCGGGCGGGCCGGGCTGCCCTGCTCTCCTGAGCAGCTCTCTATGAATTGGCTAACTCGAAATGGAAAAAGAAATTAATAACGCAATTTTTAATTCATTTTAGAATTTCAAATCTTACGAATCATTCATAAGCTTTTATTTCCTTCAAAAGGGCCTCTGCATGCACCAGCAACACCTGCAGCTCCTGCATCCACAGCCCAGTCTTCTGCGCAGGAAAGGATTTGGAGCTAAGGTAAGAAAGGAAAGTATTAATTTAATGCAAAAATACTTTTCTTTTTTAATTATGAGGCTGTCTCAAATGAAACACACCGGAAAGCCAAAGTCAAGGATTCGTTTCCTGCGGCTGAATTGAAGAATTGCTTCCTGCAAGTGCCTAACTGGTTTGAACAAAGCCAACGGAAGACATATACAACTTGGGGAATATATAAATATATGTATTTTATTTTCAACCAGCACATTTAAGTGCCGAATCTCTTAAGTTTCTTAACAACAATTCGAAAAACTGCACTGAGACATCCTGCCTCTTACACATTTGAACAGTTGGCGGGAACTGAACGGGAAACCAATTTTTTGTGCATTTTCAGAGTTGAGAAAGGAGCACTGGAAGCTGAAAACTTATTTTAAAGCTCTGTTGCCTCAACCTTTGGACAAAATATCCGTAAATATTACAAGTTTTGGCCATATCTGAGCCCAGTTGCCCTCGCCAAACAGAAGAAGGCCAGCGGACTCTGTATCGCCTACCAGTGTAGTATGATTAGGCAACATCTGAAGTGAGAAATGGCTTCTAGAGAAGCCCATAAAGAGTTTAAAACTCCTACACAACCGCAGGCGTTCCTGGCCTTGCCTCAAGAGCATATTAGAAACAGGAGAAGCCTTCAATGCAGCCACCCGTGCACCACTGAAAAGCCCTGCTTAGATATCCCAAATAGGCTTTTAGAATGCTCATTGCTGGCCAGCAAAATCATCGATATTCTGAATCAGAGAGGACCCCCACAGAAGAAGTATCCTTCTGGGAACATTTGGCCATTTGTGGGCCAATTTGCTTTATTTCCCCTCAGCTCACATTCCTGTTGCATTCAGTAAGGTCTAGGATCTTTTGGATTATTTAATTGAGCACAACCATTACAATAAAACAAAGAAGATAATTTGTCTTTGCTGCAAGTTTCCCAATTAAGAGTTTGCTTCTTCTTTGGCCGCGTCAGCATCCTGAAGCCTTTGACTGAAGCCACACAACACTGCAGGCAGCTAAAACTGCTGCAGCAAAACCTAGCTGTGTCATCCTTGAGATGTGAATTAGTGCCTCAATGAACCAAATTGTGGCAAATAGGATCAAGAGCTTCCAGAGTCTCACTCTTCTTGCACTACAAGCAGGTGAAAAGATGAACAATAGGCACCGGTACGTTAAAAAGACTCAATCAGGAGCCATAGTGGGTCTATTTTATGAGTCCTTCTTGACAACGCAACACTTCTGGGAAATTGTTGTATGAGGCAATGCGAGATAAACTCAATTAAGTGCCTGATCAAGAATTATGGAGGCGCCTTTCGCTGAGTTGGAGAGAAGATAGCCAGCATGAAGATCCAGGCATATAAGCAGCGCTTTAAACCTAATTAAAAACTCCAAATACTTCTCTAATCGGGAACTTTGTTGGTCAGCGTCAATAGTTGGTTCTGCAGTGGAGTTTATGATGTCCAGTGCAGCACTTCGTCAAAGACTTTGGTGAGAGCTTAGTAACGAAATCAAATGCGTATCACCGGAAAGCAGCTGATTTGAAAAAACAGATATCTCCTTAAACCAAACAAATATAAGCACTTAATTATTGAAATGCATTTTTATTTACAGCTAGCAGCTAATCCCATCCAGCGCTTTTGCTTAGTAGTGCATTTTCCTTATTTCAGTTTAATCCAACACCAGGTGCAAACTGCCTCGTTTCGTATTTCAAGAATATTTGACTAAGACGCAACAAAGCAAACAGTTGTTTGTAGCGAACAGCAGCAGCAATTATGAGTGGTGCTTAATTGTGTGAAAGAGGACAAAGCTTGCAGCCAAATGGATGGGCAGGTGCAGCAGTGCTTCGGTTCCAGTTAGCAACTGGGAGAAACGGGAGAGCGAATTATAGAACACTTAATTTGTTTGCAAATTAATATACACAAATGCAAATATAAGTAAATGTAGGAGGCACAAGGCGACGTGTCAGCAAAAGGATCAACAAACGAGCATCAGACACCCGAAGCATCCAGCAGCTCATTTCCCTTTGTCTTGAGAAGAAGTAATGCAAGAAAACAAAATTGAGCTAAATAAAAAATCTAGAATTAATATTTAGAGTTTTATGTCTAAGATAAATAACAATTCTAGTTTCACTATTCAGGTTTAGGGTCTATGGTGCAGGCCTTGATTTTGCGGGGGTTTAAAGTTTTAAGGCGTGGGTCTTCACGGGGTTCTGGTTCTACGGACTCGCCTGCAGCAAATTAAATTTATATTCAAATTCAAGTTCACTCTCTACATTATTTGCAGCCTTCAGGTACTATTCCACAACTTCCTTCCCTAGATGAAGGACTAAAAGCTTTTCCATTTTTGCTGGCTGTTTTGCCGCCTCCCGGCTAAATTTGGCGTTTCTGCTTACTTGCAGTGCCTCTTTTGTTTTTAAATTCCTAATAAATAAGCAATGCACACCGAATACTACGTGTGTTGGGACCTAATGAGGCTCTCTACCTTCCTAAAAGAGGCCTTGAGCCACCAGGCTGCTGCGTCCCGTTTCAGTGAAACCCGAAAAAAAATAATTTACTGCAATTAACACGGCAAGCAAATCAAACTTGCTGGAAAACAATGAACAATAAACTAATTCAGGTCTATGCCAAAGAAATGCTGCACATGAGAACCGAGGAGGTGTGCGGCGCACTAAGCCGCCGCTCCCACGCAGTTCCAGCTGCGGAATAAACTGAAATAGAACAAATTTGAGACATTATCGAGTTTAAAAACATAAAATATTACATTGAAAATTTCTGGTGCAAGGCCTAGCGCTCACCTTCCATTGTTTCGAGGCTCTGGACCAATGGTACTCCTGTCCTCCATGCTGAGCATTCTGAGAAGTAGCTCCTGAGGTGAGCTGAATCCGCCGAAATAAACATTTCATATTGCAGATTATTTTTTATTTGCTCAGTTAAACCCTCAAAATCACTCATTTGATGGGCAATATTTGCATCATTTGCCACGGAATCCGTGGAACCGGTGTGTCATGGTCACTGGCGCGTGACCAACTGGATGGTCATGGCCCACCAAGCAGTAACGTCACGTGTTAGAGTAAGCTTTCAGGTATTTACTTTCGAATTTAAAATTATTGAGTTTAATTAGAACATGAAAGCTGACCTTTAAAGCCAAGAAGAAGAGCAGCTCGTCCACATGCTTTTGGCGGCTAAGCCTCCGTCTGGTTGTCCAGGCGCATGCGCCGAAGTGAGCCGCCTTTTTCACTTTAAAACAATCAACAATATTAAATATAAATTTGTTTATTTAGGTTTTTCCATTTATTACACTGCTTCCGCGCACTTCCAGTCCCCCCAGTGCTAGATGCCGAGACATGCACAAAAGTTGCCTGAGGGGGAAACTGCGGAATGAATGCTTGCCAAATTACCTGGATGGGAAATTAAAGAAGCATAAAAAAGGAAAATATTGCAAATGCTGCTCTGAGAAAATCGGAAACAGCTGAAGAGGGAGTCAAGTGATAGTGGTGACAAAAACTAAGGGAGGAAATCCGGGAAAGAAGGGAAGCAAAGCAGCAGGAGAAAACAAAGTAAAAAGCATCAGCACTGAAAACGGAAATGCAGGAAAGAAGGACAACAAGGCAGAAGGAGAAAACAAAATAAGTTTCTTCATTTCAAGGAAAAATTTCCCGCTTTTTTTGTTCAGGATCTCTTCCCTTTTCTTCAGGCGATGTGACGAATTCAGCTTGCCCAACTTGGCGGTTAACCGAGATGAAAAGGACAAAATTGTTCCACAATTACTTTAACTTTTTGTTTTATTTCCATTTTGTATTGAGTTTATCATCAGATCTCCCCTTTTTCGTATCTTCTCCCCTTTTCCGACCAGTTGCCGCTGCAACTCCGGACTTGTATCAGGAGCTTTCCACCCCATTTCAGCACTTTGCCTCGCCTTCAAATGACTCAACTGTGGGACAGAATTTGAAATTAACCGACTGGGAAAGCCCAGAGAGGTCCATAACGACGGAAAGAACAAAAAAGAAGACAGAGGGCCTGCGGCACCTGCTGCCAGCCGCACAGCAGCTGCCAGGTAGATGCAGTTTGCTGCGAAGCTCCCAATGCCTCTGATAATTAGTTAAATTAAAACAAAATCAAACTGGTGGCAAACAGAGATTGCATTTGTTTCTTTAAGAAGATGTTTCCACCTTTGTTCTGATGCTGAAGCGCGTGCGAGCAGCCAATCAACTTGTTCACTGAATTCTGTTTTCTTGTGGCTCTGTCTTCTCTATCACATCCTTTTGATCCCAGTTTTAATCTTTTTCTCTTCTGTTGCTTCCTGACTCTGCGTGAAATCACTTTATTTTCAGACTCACATGAAGACACTTCCCTTTTCTCAGATTTCAGGCAGAGACATGAAGCCGCAAGTTCAACAAATGCCATAAGAAGCCAGTGGCTGCATTTGGAAAATGTCCTGAATGGGACAGCACCAGCTGTAGGTGCAGCAGATGCAGTAGCAGCACTGCATGCAGCGGATGCAGCGGCCGCAGCAGATCCGGTGGATGCAGCAGCAGCAGATGCAGCAGCAGCAGTTGCACCGCCGGCCGAAGTTCAGTTGAAGGAACCTTCAATGTGGGGCGTAGGCTCATCTATACTTCAGCTAAATGAAACTGCCGCAGCAGCAGACACAGCAGCTGCAGCCACAGCAGCAGCAGCCACACAAACAGCAGCCACAGCAACAGCAGCCACAGCAGCAGCAGCAGCAGCAGCAGTCGGGGATATGCCTGCTGCAGCCATGTGGGATTCAGGTGCAAATACTGGTTTGCAAAGCAGGGTTATCTGGCCTTTGCCTGAGACTGGAAATGGGACAACAGCACAAACTAATAGAATGGCTTTTGTTGACTCAGATGCAGCAGCAGAGAAGCAGCTGCTGCTGCATGCATGCGACACAGCAGCAGCAGCAACGAATCCGCAGGACCAAACACTTCGGAATCTACGGGAGCAGCAGAAGCATCAAGATGATCCTAAGGGCCTCAGCGAGAATCTCTTGGTGGAGCGTCGAGCACCTGCAAGTGCTGCAGACCAAATCCTGCAGCAGCGAGCAGCAGCAGCAGCAGCAGCAGTAGCAGCAGCAGCAGCTGCCGGCTACCCTCATGTGCTTATTGGGGTTGTTCTCGCAGACGGCTCAGTCTGGGGTGTAGATGACCTTAGGGAAGGCTTGCTGCAGAGCAGGCAGCAAACATTCTTGCTGCAGGAGCAGCACCCCCTAAACGAGCAGCGGCAGCAGCAGCAACAGCATCAGCGACAGCAGAATTTGCAGCTGCGGCTGCAGCAGCACCAGCGACAGCTGCTGCAGCAACAGCAGCTGGAACCAAGCTTCTTCCACACTCTGTTGCCTGAGCAGATGCAGCAGCCGCCAGTAAACTAGCAGCAGCAGCAGCAGCAGCAAGAGCAGCAAAAGCAGCAGCTTCGAAACCTACGGGTCGAAGTACTGCAGCAGCACGTGCCACACTTTTCTTGATGAAAGCAGCAGCCCCAGCACGTCTGGCAGCAGCAGCAGCAGCAGCAGCAAGACAGAGGCGCCGGGAACACGAATAGCAGTAAAAGTGTAAATAGAAGCAGCTGAACGACCGGCAGCAGCAGCAGTAGCAGCAGCAGCAGCAAGCGGCCATCTGATTCGCCCGAGGAACACAGCAGCAAAGAGGCATCGACCTTGCTGCTTTTGTTTGCTGCTGCTGCTGCTGCCTGATTTGGTGGATTCATCTAAAATACAAAAGATTATAAAATAAATAAAAATGAAATTGCCAGTGCAAATGTAATTGTGAAAACAGTGCAGGTTCAAATATGAATGCATGCACAAATATATATTTTCATCTTTTGCAAGAGACAGAAACATTTCTAAATTATTCGACATTAATTAAGCTGCAGTACTTAGCCATATATTCCTGTACATTGCGCCTATAGTCCAAAAAGCTTTGCTGCTGCTGCTGCTGCTGCTGCTGGTTCTACTCCTACTCCTGCCTCTACTGGTACTGGCGGTACTGCCACTGCTTCAGCAGCAGCAGCAAAAGCAGTAGCGGCCGCAGCAGCAGCAGCAGCAGCAGCCGCTGCTGCAGCTGCTGACGCAGCTGGGGCGGGGGCTGCAGCAGCCGAAAATGCCGGCCAAGGCAGTGACTGTCATCAGCAGGACAATGCAGCAGAGCAAACCCTAAACCCTAAACCCTAAACCCTAAACCCTAAACCCTAAACCCTAAACCCTAATCCTCCAACTCTTAATTTTGTGCACCAGCTGCCAAGTTGCCAGAGATGAGGAAATGTGCAAATCAGTAATCAGTGGAATGACGCAAAGCAGCAAAATGCGCTGAGACGAAATGGAGGCAAAATAGACCAAAAGTTGACAAAAAAGACAGTCAAAAAAGCGGAAAATTGGCGAAAACGAAGGCGCATGCAAAGCAGAAATGTCCCTACGTTTTAAAAAGCAAAAAGAAACAAAAAATGGAGAAAAAAAAGGACAAAAAGCAGCTGAAGAGGCAAAAGTTTGATGCAGAATGAAGCACGGGGGGGCTCTAGGTGACCTTGTGCCGATTCGCAGCACTAATAGACATTTCAAATTACTTTTTCTTATCTTTGTTTTTTCTTTTTTCCTTTTTGCTGTTTTTTGTTTGTCTTTTTTTTTTACTTTTTGCCCTTCTTTGTTTATCTTTTTTATCCTCTTGCTATTCTTTGTTTGTCTACTTTTGATGCTGCTTCTTTTTGTTCATTTTGCAGCCGTTTCTGCCTCTATTCTGGTTTCGTTCGTTCCTTTTTGAAAGCTCGAACAAGTTGACCATTTAAAACCTTTTTTTGTTTTTAATTCTTTTCCGCTGCAAACAAAACTTACCAAGAAGAGCTCATTAATGCCAATGCGAATTCTTCCTGATTTATATCGACTCAGCACTTCAGTTTTCAAATACAGGGTTTTGGGTGAAGAGAGCTTTTAAATGGCTCACATGCATATATAGATATAAACCATTGATTTACATTGTTATTTATAAACATTTTTACAAAAAATCCGTACTCTAAACTTTAAATTGCAATGTTATGCTGCTGCTGGTCAACAACCCCACCAAAACACCACCTAGGGGCCCCCTCTTGGGGCCCTCTCCAATATTGGCTGGCTGTGAGTGTTGTCTACAGAAAAGAGCGAGAAAATAATTTTAATAGATTCAAAAACTTGACATTTTGTGCTTTTTAAATTAAAGAGATAGAACCCCTTTCATTTTCCTCAGTTAGGCCGTTTGCCTGCAGCAGCAGCAGCAGCAGCAGCGACGGCGGCAGCAGCAGCGGCACAAACAGGAGCAGCAGCAGCTCACTTAAGCTTTTCCTCCACTTCACGAGGCACTTGGGAGTACCATGCGGGGCTTTCACGTGGGGCAGAGTGTCCTGGGTTGATCAGCAGCAGCTGGAGAATCCACGAAAAAGGGTTTAGGGTTTAGGGTGTAGGGTTTAGGGTTTAGGGTGTAGGGTTCAGGGTTTACAACCCCCCTCACACCCTCCCTACCCTTCGCTCACGGAAAGCACAAAATGGATGCTGTGGCGGAGCTGGAGGGGCAGCAGCCGCTGCAGCTACAGCAGCAGCAGCAGCTGCAGCAGCAGAAGCAGCAGCAGCAGCCACAGAAGCAAAAGCTGCAGCAGCTGCAGCGGAGGGCCTGGCCCTCAGGGACCAATGGGCCTAAAGCTGGCGCATGCAGGCTGTCTAATGGCAGCAACAGCAGCAGCAGCAGCAGCGCCGCTGCAGCCCCCTTCGCTGCTGCTTCCTCCACTGCTGCTGATTCTGCTGCCTTTTGCAGCAACGACAGCAGCAGCAGCAGCAACAGCAGCAGCAGCAGCAGGATTGCAGCCCTAGGAGCTGCTATGCTGCAGCAGCTAGAGGATGATTGCGAAGCAGCAGCTCGAGGGGCCCGACAGAGGGCTGAAGAGTTCGCCACCTTCATAGACGACCAAATTGGTTAGGGTCTAGGGTTAACTCCTCAGGAACTAGGGTTTAGGGTTTAGGGTTTAGGGTTTAGGGTTTACATATTACAAGTCTAGGGTTTACGGTCTATTGGGAGGCGGGTCTAGGGTTGCAGGACTACACTCGAGAGTTTGTGGTTTTATGGCATAGAATATAGGACGCCACGCAGGGTTTAGGGTTTAGGCCTTGGGGTTTAGGGTTTAGGGTTTAGGGTTTAGGGTTTGGGGCCTAGCGTGTATGGGCTTGTCTTTGTCTTCAGCTGAGCTGGAGCAACTGGCTATGGAGAGTGCCCAGCTGCAAGCTGAGGTAGAAGAACTCAACGCTAGTAAGCTTGGCGACTGGGGGTTTAGGGTTTAGGGTTCAGGGTTTAGGGTTTAGGGTTAAGGGTTTAAGTTTAGAGGAGGCACGATCGTACGTAGAGTTGCGCTTTCTGTGACATTTCAGAGACAGAGCAAAACCTGCGGGAGGTGCAAGTGCTCCTTGAGGAGGACAAGGCAAGGGTTTAGGGTTTAGGGTTTAGGGTTTTGGGTTGGGGGTTTGAACATCTTTATTCGAGTGCTCAGGATTTCAGGGTTTGTGTTGCGTTCTGGCTGCATTGCCATCTGCTTTTTTCGTAGTAGTGTGCACGGCCACTACGCCATGTTATAGAACGCAGGGTTTTCGCTCTAGGGTTTAGGGTTTAGGGTTTAGGGTTTTGTGGTTTGTGGCGGCAGGCAGTAGACGCTGAGTTGGCTCGCGTGGCTGCTGCAAAGGAGAAGGTGGAGCTGCGGCTGCAAGCGGCGCACCGAAAGTTAGAAGCCACAAGAAAAGGTCCATTAAGGGTTTAGGGTTTAGGGTTTAGGGTTTAGGGTTTGTTGATTCTGAAAGTTGGCGTGGTTGTTCGTTTCCGGCACGCGCATTTCGCCAGTTCAAGTTCAACTTGCAAGTTCGTGTTCGTGTCAGTACTTGAAACTTTGCATTTTGCAAGTAAACTTCTTTTATTTTTTAATTTTAATTTTAATTTTAATTTTAATTTCTTTTTCTTAATCTTATTTGTTTTTTTGACAGAGTTCGCGGTGGTTTCCTCGCAAGACGCGCACGCGAGGAAGGAGTGGCGGGCCAGAGTGGATGCCTACAGATTTACTCACGCTTTGAAAATCTATCAGCCTGCAGGTAGCAGCAGCAGCAGCAGCAGCAGCATTAATACAAGCAGCAGCAGCAGCAGCAGGGGCCGCGGGGGCTGAACCACTACTGCTGGAAGCAGCAGCATTAATACAAGCAGCAGCAGCAGCAGCAGGGGCCGCGGGGGCTGAACTACTACTGCTGGAAGCAGCAGCAACAGCAGCACCACTTGCAGCAACACGGCAGCAGCGGTAGTATGAAGCAGCAGTAGCGGCAAGCGCAGAACTAAGTGCAGCAGCAGCAGCAGCAGCAGCAGAAGCAGCAGCTCTGAAGCTGTTTTGCATTTTGTCTTAAAGAGGTCACACCGATCGCCAGATAAGGGCTTAAAATCCACGGTTTCCTGCCAGCGCCCTAGGGTTTAGGGTTTAGGGTTTGTGTGCAGGCGAGAGGTTCACCCGCATTTGTTTCATGAGTCTGTACAAGGCTTTGCCTGCTCTGGAGTGTTTTGTGGACATCTCATTCCAGCAGCAAACTTGCCACGGTGAGTTAAATGCAAAAACTTGCTTTTGCTGCTGCTTCGTTGCTGCTGCTGTGGCTAGCTAGCTGCAGCGACTCGCTAGCTAGCTGTGAGCTCTGGCTAGCTGCTCTCTTAATGTCTTCCCGTGCAGTCCTTTGCCTCGCAGGCGGCTAGCTAGCTAGCTAAGTGAGCCACAGCTAGCTAGCTAGCTAGCTAGCCCTACTAGGTAGCTAACTAGCTAACTAGCTACGTAGCTGCTAGCTAGCTAGCTATGTGGCCGGCTATGTGGCTGGCTAGCTAGCTAGCTACCTACGTAGCTAGCTAGCTACGTAGCTAGCCAGCTAGCTGCGCAGCTAGCTAGCTAGCTAGCTAGCTAGCCAGCTAGTTAGCTAGCTAGCCTCTTGTGTGTTGTGCTGCTGCGTGGGGCTCAGTGGTGGGGGCTTGGCCGGAGTGCTGTCTTTGGGAACTCGGGGAACTTTACAAAGAAGGCCGAATTAGTTTTGCTGCTTTTCTTTCGCACTTGCGGCTTCTTTTCAAGCAGAAGCTGCAGCAAATGAGCCCCGCGCAGAAGCTGGCTGCGCTGCAGCAGCAGCAGCGCAGCAGCAGCGCAGCAGCGCCCCAAACCCTAAACCCTAGCTCCCCGCCCCAAACCGCGCACAAAGCCCAAACCCTAAACCCAAGGCCCCACGAATCCAAACCCTAAACCCTCAGCAATTCTTTGCAGCCAACAGTGGGTGCTGTCTTTGACCCTAAAACAATGAACAGAGTCTTCTCGCAGCTCCTGCTTCTTGAAATTCAGGGTTTAGGGCTTAGGGTTTAGGGGTTAGGGTTAGGGTTTAGGGTTTAGGGTTTAGGGTCTGGGAGAAGCCGCATACCTAGCTTGTGTTGTGCTGCGGACAGCTTTTGCTGCGGTGCAAAAACCTGCTTTATCAGCACAAAGACTGACTGGATAGGAATATTTGCTGCTGCTGCAGCAGCTGCTGCTGCAGCAGCAGCAACAACACCTGCTGCTACAGCAGCTGTTGGGTCCCTAGTTCAGTCAGCAGCCAGTTCTGCATTTTGGTGCTGCAGCAGGAACTCAAGGAAAGCATAGCAGCAGCAGCAGACGCTGCAGCAACACCAGCAGCAGCAGCAGCTGCTGCGTTGCAGTTGCAGCGCCTTTTACCTTCCTCCCCTCGAGGCGCACCGTTAGGGAGACTTTATTTGTTCTTTATTTTAAATATTTCGTTGAAAAAATAGTTTAATTTTCATTTACATATTTTTTAAAGTCCCAGCTGCATCCAGCCGTATGTACAGCTCAGGTTTCCCACAAATGCAACAAAGAAGACACTGTGCTTCTTTTTCGTTCCCCCTGCATGCTTTGACTTCATTTTAAAGATTAAAAAGAGATTTAATTTGAAAATGGAAACATTTTGAGATAATAAATACAGTTAATGCTCAGCTGTGGGGCCCCACAGCTTGGGAAAAGGACTTCGCCACATTTGCAGCAAAGTGGCTCCCGTGGGGGCCGTTTTGCTGCATACAGAAAGCTAGCAGCAGCTTTGCTACTGCTAGCAGCAACTTTGCTGCTGCTAGCAACAACTTTGCTGCTGCTCGCAGCAACTTTGCTGCTGATAGCAGCAAAAGGTTTGCTGTTGGCTCTCGAAGTGGCCTTTGCTGCAGGACTTTGGGCAGCAGCAAACTAGAAAGCTAGCAGCAGCTTTGCTGCTGCTAGGAGCATATAGTTCACTGTTATAACTTCCTGCAGCAGCAAAAGGCAAAATAGAATTTGAAAAATTAAAATTAACTTTTTCCTGAATTAAAGACAGCAGCTCAGCAAGTCTTCAAAGACAGCTGATTTGGCCTTTTGTCTTGCAACAAGCCCTAAACCCTAAACCCTAAACCCTAAACTCTAAACTCTAAACCCTAAACCCTAAGCGGGAATCAGGGCAGCAGATTTGGGCCACAAGAGGCTGTGTGGCAACTGGCTGGCTGAGGCAGCCTCTTGAGAAAGTGTTCTTTTTAATTTTATTTTCAATAAGTCTTTCAGAAACAAGTTTGTCTTTCTGGCAAAGTCATGTGTCAATAAGAAGTGTCTTCTGCTGCTGCTGCTGCTGCTGCTGCTAAAAAGCAAAAAGCAGGTTTTGCCACTGCTGGCAGCAGCAGCACGCAGGCAGCAAAATAAGTTAAAGGTTGGGGAAAGCTGCTTCTGGGAATTCAAATAACAGCAGCAGCAGTGGACCACTGCAGCGCAGCAGTTGACCACTGCAGCGCAGCAGTGGACCACTGCTGCTGACTTGTGTGACCAGTGGTCTGCATGCGGCGCAGCACAAACTAAACAGCAAATGCGAAATTTGGAGAAGACTTTTTATCTTTTTGAACTCCAGGAAAAGAGAAGAAGTTCAAATGGCGGCAGCACTTGACAAGCTGGCAGCAGCTCGGCCACAATAGCCCAACTGCTGGCCTTGAACGAATTGCTGCTGCTGCTGTTGCTGCTGCTGCTGCTGCTGCTGCTGCTGCTGCATTCAAGTTCCGCCAAGCGCACTGCTGCAGCTCTCCAGCTGCTGCTGCAGGCCGCCAGCAGCTAGCCACGCAGCTAGCCATGCAGCTAGCCATGCAGCTAGCCATGCAGCTAGCCATGCAGCTAGCCACAAGTTCCAATGTTTACAATCTAAAATATAAAGTAACAAAATATGGGGCCTCTTCTGGGCTGGGGGCCCCCTAAAGTACCCAAAAGGGGGGCCCCCAGGCCCACTGGGGGTCCCCCGTGCTGCAGCTGCTGAACAAAAGGGATTATTATAAGCAGCTTTTTTGTTTTTAAGATCTTCTGAGAATAAAACGTTGAAAAGACTCAAATCTAAGAAACTGAGGGGCTATATGCAGCAGCAGCAGCAGCAGCAGATTTGGAGGGAAGCAGCAGCTGCTCGACTTTTGACCAGTGCAGCTAGCTGAGAAGCTAGTGCTGCGGCGCTGGCGCTGCTGCTACTGCTGCTGGCCAGAGAGCGGGGGCTACGCAGCGTTCCTTCTGCGCCAGTATTTGCTGCTGCTGCTCCTCCAGTGCAGTAAAGTTGAATTCCTTCTTTTCATTCTAGGCCTGTCAGGGCTTTGCCCGCGGCTGCTGCTGCACGAGCAGCAGCTGCTGCAGAAGGAGCTGCTGCTGCAGCAGCAGCTGCTGCTGCAGCTAAAGAGGGCCAAAAGACCCCACAAGAAGCCCCAGCGCATGCAGCCCCGGAGCCAAACTGCGAATTCAATTTGGCCCTGAGCTGCTGCTGCTGCTGCTGCTGCTTAACTTCTGCCAACTGCCACAAACACCCCCCTGTGCTTCTTTTTCCTCTATTCTGCTTTTAATGAACTACTTGGCTGCCTCAAGAGTGCCTTTTGGACTCACAAAAGGCAGCTTTTGGCCCGCCCGAACGCGACGAAGGCCATTTGCTGCTGCTGTCTTTGCACTTTCAACTCAAACTAAACTCTAATTCCTAAACTATTGACCCTAAGGCCAAAAAAAGTCAATATATAGGCCAGAGAAGCTGGGGGAGCCCGCTAGGGTACAGACCCCGTACCCCCATTGTGTGTCTGCTGCGGTGATCTTTTGAAGAAGAGGCTTGGGAGGTCTCTGAAAAGGAGAATAACCCGCAGGACATAAATAATAAACAATTTAAAGTGAAATGAAAGCAAATCCTCTTTTTTAATTCGCAAAGTCAAACCGCCACTGTCCAAGAAAGCAGAGTTGGCCAGACCGTTAGCGTTGGGTGCTCTGAGGCAGCTCGCGTTGCATATTGTTCTTTTCAAGTTTGCACTTCGTCACTTCTTCATTTAGGACAAAGTTGGGAGTAGAGTAATTCATTTTCTCCTTCATTTTTATTAAGAATTCGAAGCTAATCGTGGCGCCTGTGTCGGCCCGCCTTCGCTGTGGCTGCTGCTGCTCTTGCGGCTTCCTGACATGACAGCAGCAACGCGGACTGCTTCTTGATCTATTTGTCGATTCTAAAAGTGAATTTCGGAAAAGAAAACATTTCCAATTTCTTCTTCAATTTCAATTCTTTGTTGCGGCCTGGTTTCGGCAGGCGCCGTCGTGGGCCATCTTCTCACTCTTGTTCTGTCTGCTTCCTCGCGGCTCTTCCCGCCTGCCTTCGCACTGAGACTTCTTCTCCGCAGCAGCTTCAAAAACAATCATTAAAATTTTATTTTATTTGTTTTTTCGAAGTCTTGTTGGCTTTTGCTTTCCGTGTATCCCCCAGACTGCCTCATTTCGAGTCAAGGAGGTCCTTTGAGCCGGACACACCAGCGGGCACATCCCAATCCCAGGAGCCCTACGCAGCAGCAGCAGTAGCAGCAGCAGCAGCAGCAGCAGAAGCGACAATGGGTGTGTTTGATTTTGTGAAGAAGCAGAAGGCGGGGGCCTCCGCCCCGAGGGCCGCAGCAGTCGAGCCGGTGCCTCCAGCAGCAGCAGCAGCAGCAGCAGCAGCGCCTTCCCCGTCTTCGGGGGCTGCAGCAACAGCGGCGCCGCCCGCAGCAGCAGCGCCGCCACCAGCAGCAGCAGCAGCAACAAAGGGGGCCTACCTGGTCTTCGACACTGCCAGCAACGGCACTCTCTTCATAGTTTGGAGTGTATCTCCAGTCGAAGGGGCCATGGCTTTCTTCGAACCGAAAAAGCCAGTGGCGGATTTCAAGTATAAAGACAAGGGCGGAAAGTCCGAAATCTTCCGAAACCTCTCGGTGAGCAAACCCTGATTTAGGGTTTAGGGTTTAGGGTTTAGGGATTAGGGTTGGGGCCTGGGAGGCGGAACTCCCGCTGCTGCAGCTGCTGCAGCTACAGCAGCTGCAGCAGCTGCAGCAGCACCAGCTGCTGCAGCTGCTGCTGCTGCTGCTTCTGCTGCAGCAGCAGGTTGAGTGCTGCGCTGCGTTTGCTGCTGCAGCAAGACAAGAAGAACTACTACGAAGGGTTTTGCCAGTTCTTCAAAACTGCTGCTGAACACAAAGGGCTTTGTCGTTTGCTGCCGGGGCTGGAAGCAGCACCAATAAAGGTGGAAGTGGCTTTTCTGGAGAGCAGCAGCAACAAAGTCATTTTCCTCGAAACAGCTGCTGCTGTCAGTGCTGCTGCTGCTGCTGCTGTTGCATGCACTCCCAAGGGGGACTCTTCTCTCCATGTACAGACACTCGCCAAAGATGTCTTCGTCAGAAACGCCAGAAGGGGCGGCGCTGCTCTCATCTTCTAGTGGACCACCCGCGTGACCAGTGGTCCACTGCGAGCTGCTGCTGCTGCTGCTGCTGCTGCTGCTGCTGCAGCCCGCAGCGAGCAGTTCGGGTGCGCAAAGGGGAGCCCTACGCAGCCACAGCCCTGTGGCCTGCTGCTGCTGCGGCTGCAGCACGAGATGCCACTACTGCTGCTGCTGCAGCACCAGGGGCAAGTACTGCTGCGGCTGCAGCACCAGGTGCAACTACTGCTGCAGCTGCAGCTGCAGCTCTACCAGGGCAGCTGCTGCAGCTGCCCTGATGCAGCTGCAGCTGCATTAGGGCAGCTGCTGCAGCTGCTGCTGCAGCAGGCGCGACTACTGCCGCTGCTGCATTAGGTGTATCTACAGCTGGTGCAGCAGCTGCTGCATCAGGTGCAGCGTGTGGCGCTGCGGCTGCATCAAGTGCAACTACTGCTGCTGCTGCTGCGTCCAGCGCCACTGCTGCTGCTGCAGCAGCAACGCCCCCAGTGGGAGCAGCCGCAGCAGCATTTATGCCAGTCTACTTTTTCTGCTACAATTGGAAGCACTTTTATCAATTGCAGGTCTCGACTAGCAGCAAAAATGGATTAGCAGCTGCCTGCTGCAGCTGGCTAGGGCCTCGAAGTTGCTGCTGCACTAAGAAGACACACAAGTAAAAGCTGCTGCAGCAGAACGCGAAAAGTGGTCCACTGGTCACCTCTTGAGCAGCTCGAAGGGCTGCCTCCGTCCCATCTGGATAAACATGGAGAGAAAAGGGAAAAGCTCTTGTCGGGGAAGCTTTTTGGAGTTTAGAATAATTAAAATGCCGCAGCAAAACAAAAGAAGGGCACTCGTCTCCGGCGCGGGCGAGCCCCGAGGTGTACGTACACCCCACGCGCACGGGGAACGCGCGGGGCGTCTTTGCAGGTTGCAGGCCTACTGCCGTGCAAAGTACATATAAATTCGTCAATTAATATAAATAATACAAATTAATATAAGTGACGTATTAAATCATCTATAGAACGTTTTGCTGCGCTTGCACGGCCTATATCGCAGCAGAGGCGCGCTAGAGCTCCACTGCAATTTTGCCCGAACTGTCCGCTGCGCCTTTTCCTGCACCAGTCAAAGAACTAAAGTAAGAATATATTTTATCCAAAACCGAAGCTGGCAGCAGCAAATAAGCTGCTGCTGCTGCTGCCAGCAGCAGCAGCAGCAGCTTCACGGGGCAGCAAGCCGCTGCCGCGCAGGGACATCCGCGCTTCTCCTCCCTGCACACAAAACAGCCAAGCTGCTGCAGCAGCCAGTAATCTGCATGAATTCAAAACTGCAGCAGCAAGCGGCAGCAGCAGGAAGCAGCAGCAGCAGCAGCCAGCAGCAGCAGCCAGCAGCAGCAGTAACAAGCAGCAGCAGCAGCAGGGAGTTGTGCTGCAGCTTGCAGCAAACAAACACAGCAAGACAGCAAGCGGCGAAAGGCAAATGAAGAGCAGCAGCAAACCACGCACTGCGGACTGCAGCAGACAAAGTTATGGGCTACAGCAGCGGGAGGCGCATGCAGCTCTAGTTGGGCCTTTTGAATCCAACAAAAAAATAAATTGATTTTAAATTAATTTTAAATTAATTAAATTTAATCTTGAGGGCTACAAGAAGCAGCAGAGGCAGTGTGTGCAGGCGCGGCGAGGCTGCGGCTCGCTCGCACACAGGGAGTGCGGCGGGAAGCGCCGGCTTTGAGTCTCTGGAGGGCACAATAAAACGAAAAAGTCTTTTAAATTGAAATTAAATTAAAAAGAGATGAAATTAAATGTTTAAAAATGCAGTTCTTGCCTGTTTCCCTTGCGTTTCGCCTCGCGCGAAGGAGGCACGGGGGCTGCCGCCGGCTGCTGCGCATCCTCCTCGCGCGTCTGCCGCCTCGTGGTCACCATTTTTCTCCTCTTCTGCTGCTTTTTTAAATTAAAGAAAAAACAATTCAAAAGAAGAACTCAAAGAAATCCCGCGCTGCAGCAGCCAGCCCCACGGACACCGCAGACCACTGCCGGCGGCCTTGCACAGGAGCCAGAAAGCGGGCAAAACGGGGCCCCCGGCGGTCAATTGCGCGCTCTTTCGACTGATCTGCGCAATAATCGACAAACTCAACTTCTAATGGATCTTTATTTGCACTATTAATTGCAAAACCGCAAAATTCTGGTCTTTCGAGCCCAAGGCGCTGCACAGTGGGCTCCTAACAGTCGCGATTCACCTGGCGACACCGCGGGCCTGCTGATCCGCGCTTTCTCGCCGCTACTTTCGATAGAATTGAATGCTAATTTAATTTTAATATATTTTGCCACAAATTAAAAAGATTTAAAAGCTTTAAAGACGCATAAGCGGCTGCGGATCGGCAGATTCCGCGCTGCTCGAAAGCTGAACGTGACAGCGGCGGCCGGAGGCGTCGGGAGTGCCTGCGCAACTGTGTCCTTGCTGACGAAATTCAGTCAATATTTCTTTCTCTCAAGGGTTATTTTGCATTAACTATTAATTATTTTTTCAATTTAATTATTGTTTGCGGCTTTCGGGGCTCTTCGGGGCGGCGGGCGGCTGTTTTTGCGTTTTTCTGAACTTGCAAAATGGCGGGCGGGGTCTTTCCGCTGCTGCTGCTGTGTTTTCTTTCGCTTTTTTTGCTTCCAGCAGCAGCAGAAGACTTAATTATAAACGGAGAGCTGGAGTTTGTGGGGGATCGGCCGGCGAAGCTGCCGCCGGGGTCGGAGTACCTGGTGCAGCTGAGCTTCGTGCTGATGGACGCGCCCAGCGTGGTGATCAGCGCCTTCAGAGACAGTGCAGAAAAGCTCAACGAGGGAAAGCCTCTTAATTTCCAATTAAGACTTCCAGAAGAGGAGAGAGGCAGCAGCAGGGGGCGGCACTTGGCGGTTTCGGCGGTGGTCAACGTGGGCTGGAGCAGCAGCAGCAGCAGCAGCAGCAGCCAAGGCAGCAGCGAGTGGATCCGCAGAGGCGACTACAAAAACGTCTTCATGAACCTTTTGGAAGTTCCCAAGGACAAGAATACCATTGATGGCCTTAAAATCGAAATCGAACAGTACAAATGAGCAGCAGCAGCAGCAGCAGCAGCAGTTGCGGCGGCCGCGCGAGCAGCTGTTCAAACGGCGGCAGCGGGCGTACAGATAACAGCAGGTACAGAAACACATCGGCAATGAAAGCAGCAGCAGCAGCTGCAGCAGCAGCAGCAGCAGCACTTAAACGCAATTTGAGTGAACGGCTTTAACAGCGACAGCAGGTGAAGTTGCAGCAGCAAGAGCTGCTGCCGAATTGGCAACAGCCAATTCCTGCTGCTCTGAATAGCACTCTGATGACTGTAGCAGCCCTCGCCAAAGGGCCCCTCGTGTTGCAGTTGGAGCTAGTAATGGGAAAGCAGCAGCAGCAGCAGCAGCAGCGGCAGCTGCATCATGTAGTGCTGCTCTAGCAGCAGCAGCAGCAGCAGCGGCGACACAGGCAACTCCAAGCGCTGCAGCAAGCAGCAGCAGCAAGCAGCAGCGCACGTGCCGCTCGAGCCCCCCAACGGCAGAATTAGCAGCAGCAGCAGCAGCAGCGGTGCTGCTGGCAGCAGCAGCTCGTGTAAAGCCGCGTTATATATAAATAATATATAATTAATACTTCTTATTTATTTGAAAGAACTTGCAGGTTCTGCAAAGACAACAAATAGCCAGTCTTTTTGCTGCAGCTCAGCTGGTGTCTAGAGCTGCTTTTTGCTGCTTCCCGTGTGCAGCAAGTTCAGGTGTACGTACACCGAATGCACCAAAACCAGAACACGAAGGCATTCGAATAAATACTTCGCATGTGCAAATTGAATTTAATTAGATAAATCTTTTCTGCAAATGCAAATTGCATTTAATTAGATAAATCTTTTCTGCAAATGCAAATTGCATTTAATTAGTTAAATCTTTTCTGCAAATGCAAATTGAATTAAACAAGGACAGAAGCCGACGACGGGGCTCGAACCCGCGACCACGAGGTTAAGAGCCTCGCGCTCTACCGACTGAGCTACATCGGCGAAAACCCCCCCTGCAGCTGCTGCAGCAGCTGCTGCATCACCTGCAGCAGCAGCAGCAGCAGCAGCACTAAGTCTGAGATACGTTTTGTTTGTTTATTCGTCGATTTAACAATTGCTATAAACCAAAAGAAGCAAGTGGAGCAGCAGCAGCGCCACAGCTAACAGCAGATTGAACTCAGTCAATTTTTCTGTTTTTTCTTTTTTCAATAAGTCACTCTAAACCAAAAAGAGGACTTGGCTTATTAGTCTTTTGAATGAAAAATAAATAAAAGTAATAAAAGAAAAGTGGCGCTGCAAGCAGCGGCACTGTCCGCCGATGTAGCTCAGTCGGTAGAGCGCGAGGCTCTTAACCTCGTGGTCGCGGGTTCGAGCCCCGTCGTCGGCTCAATCAACTTTTAAGTTGTTTTGCTGCTGCCGCTGCTCTCTTGTGCTGCTGCTGCTGCTTTGATTTGTTGCTGCTGTTCAGCTTCTTATTTTATGTTTCTTGTTGCTGCTGCCCCTTTCGTCTGCTGCTGTGCTGCTGCTTTCTTTTGTTGCTGCTTTATAGCTTCTTAAATAATGCTTCGAGGCCGCGAGGCACTGGGGGGTTCCTTGGGGGGATGGGGGAAGCTGCTGCAGCAAACTGCTGCAGCAGCGAAGACACGGAACGCTGCAGCAGCAACGGCAGCAGCAGCAGCAGTAGTAGCAGCTAAAGGCTTCAAGAGGGTGCGGAAGGAGGTAGTGAGTTTGTAGAAAAGATAATTTTTTATCTTGAACTTTCTAATTCGTTTCTTTATATCCCACATCTGCAGATGTGGGGCCCTCGATAGAGCTGGGATCTACAGGAAAAGCAGGGAAATTGCATTTAATTATTTGCCTATGAATTTAATTAATTAAAAACAAATAAAATACAGTGAAAAACAAATAAAGAAAATTAAAAATTTGAATTGGTCAATTTTATTTGCTCTGCTGCCTCCTGGGCAGCAACAACAACCCCACCGGCGCTCATTTCGAGATATTTTAATAACTTTTTGAACTAAAATGATTCTGAAATAAAATTAAAAGTATTATTTCATTCTTTTAAAACGTTGTTTTACTCTTTTAACCAACTTTTGCTGTGGGAGAGGTTCTAAGCAGCAGCAATTTTTGCTGCTGCGTCGCTACAGCACAAATTGCTGCTGCAGACGCCACCAGCCAGCCAGCTGAGCCAGCATGTCCTTTTTCTTTCCCCTTGTGCAAAATTGCCACTCCCACATTCAAAATAAAACAAAAAGAAATTAAAAATATAAAAAAATAAAAATAAGAAGATTTAAATTCACAATAAGCCATGTAAGAAGTGCGAAAGTCGCTGAAATGCTGCTGCTGCAGCTGCGGTTTCGGCTGCAGCCTCCCCCTCACCGCAGCAAGATACGCGGCTTCTGCCGCTAAAAGTGGAGCAAAGAAGCTCATAAATATCTTAGACTTTAAGTTTTGCATTTTATCTTTTATTTATTTCCTAATTTAAACGAAAAACGAAACAAAGAGAGGAAATCCCGCCGCAGGAAGCCGACGACGGGGCTCGAACCCGCGACCACGAGGTTAAGAGCCTCGCGCTCTACCGACTGAGCTACATCGGCGTTTCAGCAAGAATTTTGCTGCAGCGTTTTCTCTTCAATTTCTTTTTTATTTATTCTTTTAAAGGCTCTTCTGTTTCATTTTCTTTTAATTAAATTGTTTTTGAAGAATCTTTTGTTTTATTTCCTTTTTATTTATTCCTTTATTAAATCTACATCCTTCTTCGTGATGCTGCTAGTGGAAGGCAGCAGCAGCAGCAGCAGCAGCAGCGGCAGCAGCAGCGCATTCTAGGCAGCTAACGACCTGCTGTGGCCCAGCAGCAAAAAGACGCGCGTCAGCAGCCTAACCCAAACCCTAAACCCTAAACCCTAAACCCTAGTGTGGAGCCCTGAAGTTCAGCAGGGAGGCAAGGGCTGCGTCCTTTGTTTGCTTCTGCTGCTTCTTGATCTTTTGAGCTGCCGCTGTTTGAAGAAAATGAAAAGCCAAAAGGAATTAAATAGTGAAATGAATGAAAAGAAAAAGTCGAGAGGCTGCTGCTGCTTAGCAGCAGTTCCTGCTGCTGCATAGCTGCAGTTTCTGCTGGTGCAGCTTAGCAGCAGTTTCTGGTGCTGCTGGCAGCAGAAGCAGACGCTGCAAATGCAGAAAAAGAATTAATTCAACACATTAGCCAAATGAAATAATTAAATTCAATCTTCTAATTGAAATAAACTTGAAAAATAAATAAAACCCAAATAACAAACAAAGGGGCCCTCAGCAGCAATTTCCATGGGCCCAGAAGCCCTGGAAGAATCAGCAAGACAGCCA